TCATTCCTCCTTGCCACCCCCAACATTTCCCATCGCATCTTGGAAAAGAAGAAGGACATGATGCTAGAACACTTGTGGTTGGTGGCCGTGGTGGCCTGTGGCATCCAGACCGAAGCTATCCCCGATATTTCAGTAGTGTGTAATGTGGATCTGCTGGTCAGAACCATGCGAGGTTACTGCATCAGCTTTAACTTGGAAGAGGAGTCCTTAAGGAGGACCGCTGAACATGTAGTCCAGCCCGTTGAGCAGTTGAAGGCCCTGGTCAGGTGTCCACTGGCTCATGCAGTCAACAAGGCACTTGTGGTGGAACTGCTCGTCCAAGCAGCCAGCAGAGCGCCCAACCTACCAAAGCAGCTTGTGTCCATGGCCTCCGTAGGGTTGTCGTTCGCTGTGGTCTACAGCATGTTAAAAAATTTTGTGGAGGATGTGGCAACCGAAGCCCACAGGCTTCTGGTCAAGGTGTTTATGAGCCATAAGGACACAAGTGAGGCTGAGACATCCGTATCAAAAATCTTGGAGAACCAGGGAAATTCTTAAGGGGTTTTCAAGGATCTCTACGTCCAAGGTGGACACCACAAAGTTCTAGAAAAGAAGCTACACTTTTATCTTGTCCAATGTTCTTTCAAACCAGGGTCGTTTGCTTAAGAGAGTAAATCAGGAGTAACCCTCTCACTAATCTGATTTATTTCCCCCAAATGGAGTACTTCCCTGAGGTGTTTACTCTGCTGTCTCTCGTTTCCTGTTTCTCAACCATGTTAACGGGTAGACTTCAACTTCCAGAAATCCCCAGCCAGCCATGCTTATGAAATATCTTTGTGCAATGTGTGACGGCCCATTTCTGTTTGTAATTTTGCCCAAGAGACTCAGAGATTGCCAACAGTTGAGCAGGCTGCAGTTTGTAAATTATTTAAGATGGCCTCCACAATATTTGATGGTTACAGGGACCAGCTGCCTAGAAACATTTGGATAATAAATATTTTTTATTTTTAATGATTCTCCTTTTACATATTGCTTTGGGAGAAAGCAAAATTAGGTTGGCATTCAGAGATATATTAAAATACAGGTATTTCTTGATTGATAACCATTTGTTTAGCGACCGTTCAAAGTTACAACGGCACTGAAAAAAAGTGACTTATGACCATTTTTCACACTTAGGACCATTCTGGCATCGCCATGCGATCAAAATTCAGGCGCTTGGCAACTGACTCATATTTGTGACGGTCACAGTATCCCAGGATCACGTGATCCCCTTTTGTGACCTGAAAAGCAAAATCAATGGGGAAGGCAGATTCACTTAATGACCAGGTTACTGCCATATCAACTGCAGTGATTCACTTAACAACTGTGGCAAGAAAAGTAATAAAATTGCGGGGGTGGGGGACCTCACTTAACACATGTTTCACTTAACCACAGCAATTTTGGGCTCAACTGTAGCCATAACCCCGGGACTCCCTGGAATTTCTTTCTCTTCTCTATTCTGTCTGCCCCCAGTGATGTCTCTGGAAAGTAGCATTTTCCATCAGAATCAACATCTGGAAGGGTGATTGAGGTTCATCCTTTCAAGAAGAGTTTGGCAGCCCTTTGTCAGAAATGGTATAGGGTCTCCTTCTTGGGTGGGGGGTTGGACTAGATGATCTACAAGGTCCCTTCCAGCTGTGTTAATCTAAAAATTTAAAAGATGAAAAAACAGAAATGGAACTAAGCAGAATATCAGCAGATAGTCAGAATCTGCAAAGACAAAGTCAGGAAAGCAAAAGTTCAGAATGAACAAACTCAAAGATATTTTTAAAAAGGTTTCTTCCAACATATAAATAACAAAAAAACCCAAGGAAACAAACAGTTCACTAAAGAGAAAAGACAGCAAGGAAGTAACAGGCAGCAGAGAGAAAGCAGAGCTGCTTAACTCATTCCTTGCATCGGTCTTCACGGAAAATAAAACAATAGTCCAACCTACCAAAAACATAACTCGAACAGACAGACTAGAAATAAAAGTTAAAATAAACAAAAAAAAAATGGTAAGAGAACACCTGTCTGATCTTGATGAATCTAAATCACCGGGACCTGACAGATTACACCCCAGAGTTTAAAGGAGCTGGCAGATGTCATCTCAGAATCATTCTATCTTTCAAAAACTCAAAGGTTTTGGACAAAGATACACAGGTGGTTAGAAAAGATGATAGGGAAACATATAGACTATAAACTGAATTGTTTTATTAAGGTATAAGAAAACTATGTATTTAATATTACATGACTTAACAGCAATGAGGACTATTTTCACACAAAACTGGAAAAATGAAGAAACACTGTAAGATGAAGAGATAGTCAGGAAGATACTAGATTGTGCAGAAATTGATAGATTGACATTGAAAATTAAGCAGAAAGAGGATGTAGAATATTATCAAACATGGAATTTATTTTACCAATGGTTGGAAAAAAGGGGAGGAGTTTAAGAATGTAATTTGTATTGTTAAACAAATTAAATACCTTAGATAACACAATGTTTATAAAATACTAAGAAATGTATTTAATAGAAAATCAATAAAAAATAAAATTAAAAATCCTAGAGCACCAGAGAACTACCAGAGGACTGGAAAAGAGCTGATGTGGTTCCCATCTTCAAAAAAGGAAGAAACAAAAACAGACCCAGGAAACTACAGACCAACCTAACTAACATCAATACCGGGAAGATAATTAAAAAACAGAACTGCCAACACCTAGAAACGAGTAAAGTAATAACTAGCAGCCAGCCCAGTTTGTTAAAAACAGATCATGCCAAATCAATCTTGTTTCATTCTTCAACATAGTAACTAAATTAGTAGACCAGCGAAATACTATGGACATAGTTTACCTGGACTTCAGTAAGGCATTTGACAAAATAGACCACAACCTTACTTCTTGGTAAGCTAGAAAAAATTGGGTTAGATAACACCACCACCAGATGGATTCATAACTGGCTGACAAACCATAACCAACTAGTAGCCCTTAATGGGTCTAAGTCTACATGGAGGGAAGTAAGCAGTTGGGGTACCACAAGGTTCTGTCTTAAGCCCAGGACTCTTCAATATCTTCATAAACGACTTAGATGAGGGAATAGAAGGGGAACTCATCCATTTTGCAGACGATATGAAACTGGCAGGAATTGCCAACACCCCAGAAAATAGGCTCAAAATCCAGATGGATCTTGACAGACTTGAACACTGGGCCATATCTAACAAAATGAAATTCAATGTAGAGCAGAATAAAGTCCTACACTTAGGCAAGAAAAACCAAAAGCACACATACAGATTGGATGAAACCAGGCTTAATAGCAATAACTGGGAGAGGGTTCTTGGAGTCTTAGTGGACAACCAGCTCAATAGGAGCCAACAGTGTCTGGCAGCAGCCAAAAAAGCCAATGTGATCCTAAGTTGCATTAACAGAGGGATACAATCGAGATCAAGGGAGGTACTAATGCCACTCTGTAAAGCCTGAGTAAGACCACACCTAGAGTACTGCATCCAGTTTTGGTCACCACACTATAAAAAAGAGGTTGAGACACTAGAAAGAGTGCAGAGAAGAGGAACCAGGATGATGAGGGGACTGGGGGCTAAAACATTCAATGAATGGTTGCAGAAATTGGGCATGGCTAGTCTAATCTAGTGAAGAGAAGGACCAGGGGAGACATGATAGCATCTTCCAATATTTAACGGGCTGTCATAGAGAGGAGTGGACCAAGCTATTTTCCAAAGGACCCAAAGGCCAGACAAGGAATAATGGATGGAAAATGAATGAGAGATTCAACCTGGAAATAAGGAGAAATTTCCTGACAGGGAGAACAATCAATCCATGGAACAGAAGTTGCCTTCAGAAGTTGTGGGAGCTCCATCACTGGAGGCTTTCAAGAAGAGACTGGACTGCCACCTTTCAGAAATGGGGTGGTTATACAGGGGTGGGATTCTACCAGTTCACACCTATTCACTAGAACCGGTTGTTAACATTCTAAGCAGTTCAGAGAACCGGTTGTTAGAAGAAATTACTGGCCTAATCCTGTAAGGAAGGCAGGAAGGAAACATTCTGGTGTTGCTTACAGAAACTGCCTCTCCGTTAACCCTTATTACATTCTTGGCAGGACTAGACTTCCTGTCTCAGGAACTTCTCTGGAGTTTTTTTCCCCTCCTTTGCTGGTACTTTGCTTATGTGGAGTGACCATTCAAAATTACAATGGCATTGAAAAAAGTGACTTATGACCCTTTTTCACACTTATGACTGTTGCAGCATCCCCACAATCATGAGAGGCCAGGCGAGGAGATGCGTGCCTCAATGTGAGTGATATTGAGTTGGCCACACCCACCAACTAGGCCACGTCCACAGAACCGGTTGTTAAAAAATTTGAATCCCACCCATGGTGGGATGCTACCAGTTCTGCCCGGCTCTGTAGAACCGGTAGCTCTGAAGAGCAGCAGACATAGAACTGGTTCAGTGTCTGCTGCTGTTTGGCCCACATGCCCGCCTGGGCTCTTACCTGACCTTTATTTCCTGCTTTTTTCAACCTCAGCTGCTTTACATGGCACAGCTGAGTTGAAAAATCAATTTTAAAAAAGGCATTTTTCAAACACTGCACACGTACACGCAGTGCTTATCAGCTGTCTGGGAGGCACAGCGTTCATTGTATTACACACGTGCATAGCACGCATCTAGCGCGTATGTGCGCAAAGCGCGCTCGCATGCATAAAACATAAGTATCGAACCAGTAGTAACACTGGTTGAATCCCACCCCTGTGGTGTAGGGTTCCTATTTGGGAGTGGGGTTGGACTAGATGACCTGCAAGGTCCCTTCCAACTCTGTTATTCTGTTGTAATTAAAACAACATCTGCTAGGAAACCACCAAGCTCATACAGCACCAAGATTATCCTATTTATTTGACTTCTGTATTGGCCAAAACTGTTCCTGAAACCCTTTTATTTTGTGGGTGTAAACAGCCCCTCTTCATTTCAGGACTTCCTGGTTTTCATTTCTTGTTGTGATGGGGAGGTGAATTTCGAAATCCAGCTGCTTAATAAACCCGAGCGAGAAGACCAGGCTGATTTGAGCTTCCTGGTTTCTTCAGGCGAAGTGATCTTCCTCGTCCAGGTAAGACAAACCTGTGCTCAAGGCGTTCATCAAAGAAACACTGGAGATTTGATCAGGTGAGTCAGAAATTTGCCAGGAAGGTGAATGGGGTTTGATTATTGGGGTGCAGATGGAAAAGCCAGGAACAAGCATGGATTCTGCAATGCGCAACATTTAAAGTATGCCTTTTTAAATTTATGGTAGTAGAAAAATGGAGACATTTGTTACATGGGGATTGAAGGTTGTGTTCTCACAGCATGCTCAACCCAACAGCCAAAGACCAGCTTAAGCCCAGCATTCATAAATTTCTTAATATTACAATATTAACCATCATTACATTTTTTAAAATCTGATTTAACATATGGTTTGGTGATATTGCTCACTGCACTGTGCAATTCCAGAACTGAGCTGATTTCGCTCATCAGATTAAGGCTTTACTTGCTTCCCAAACCAGTCTTAAATCAGTGCCTTACCTCAATCGTGTCCCCCAAAAATCTTTTAATTGCTTTTTACAATCCTCTGCGGTTGCTTCTTTTTGTGGCAACTTTTCCCAAAGTCTCCATCTATATCAGAGCTCTCCAAACTTGGCAACTTGAAGACTTGTGGACTCCAACTCCCAGAATTGCCCAGCTAGCACGCACAAGTCTTCAAGTTACCTAGCTTGGAGACTCCCGATCTAACAGATTAACAGAGTTGGAAGGGACCTTGTAGGTCATCTAGTCCAACCCCCCCACCCAAGCAGGAGACCCTACACCATTTCTGACAGATGGCAGTCCAGTCTCTTCTTGAAAGCCTCCAGCGATGAAGCTCCCACAACTTCTGAAGGCAACTTCTGTTCCACTGATTGACTGCTCTCACTGTCCATCTAAAAGAATACAATTTTTTTATAAGCCAAACTCACAGGATTATGATCCAAAAACGTCTTGTAAATCTACCACAAAAACCAAGTGGCCAAGTATTTTGAGATTTAAATCCTGTTTATTCCTCAAAAAAAGATCTGTTCTTCAGAAAAGGCGGTATGAACTGCAATGTTTCTGTTTCAACCAGCCCTAAATTGTCTTTCAAATCAGAAAACTTTTGGTAATTTGCCAGAAGTGATTTAATATTTTTCTCAGAACTCCTGTGACAAAAAAAAATAATCCAAGCCCAATTCCCCCATCAAATCTGAAATATGTATTTCACACCTTAAAACCATTTAAAATGATTATTGCTGTTAGTTGAAGTCTGGGTCTTGGCACCTGGGCAGAATTTGAAAAACAATGGGGCTCTTAATGTGTTCCAGGAAGTTGGCAAAAAGATGGATTAGACACAAAGTATGCTTAACAACAACAATCAAACAGTGCCAGCAGCATCTTCTTGGGCAATTGTGCCTTTGCACAGATTCTTAAAGGACCCCATCTCTGCTTTTAATTTACAGACAGATTAATTCACATTTTCCTCTAGAGGCTCATCCACAATGATGTTCTTGGCTCTTCTACTGCTGGCCTGGGCTGCCTTTGCAAAAGCACAACCTGCAGGTGAGTGACTAACCGGTGGATTTGTGGGAAAGTGGGTTCTCAAAGAATCATTGAATCCTGGGGCTGGAAGATCAGGTGACCAAGGGGAAGCTACAATGATCGTAAGTGTGAAAAACGGTGAGAAGTCAGTTTTTCAGTCCTGTTGTAACTTTGAACGGTCACTAAACGTATGGTTGTAAGTCGAGGACTACCTGTAGCAACGTCTTGAATGGCAGTTGGGTACAGATTGAGCTGAGGGATGGGATTGGCCTACAAAAGGGTGTATTTTGGTAGCATCAATAGAAAAAAGTTTTGGTGGCATCGACAGAAGGTTTGGCAAGGAATTCAAATAATTGAAGAGATGCCACATCCAGAGTGTGTCTTTTAACAGACTGAAAGTTAATTTTTGCAAAAAAACATTCAGTGAGGGGTTCTAATAGTATGTGTTTTTACACCAAGAGTTTGAATCCGCTGTTACAAAAATGTTCCAGCGAGTTCCATCCAGTCTTGTTTTGATTCGCTCTTCGACATCAGCCACCGGACTGGCTTCTTGGCCTCTTGATATAACCCTCGCTCGCGTTTCTCCTGCTTGCTGCCCCTGGGATCTGTTTCACACATCTCTCCAATGACTGGGCACGATGGGGCCACCGTGGTCCTTGCCTCGGTTTGTCAGTGAACTTCTTTATTTCTGCTGTAATCAATTTGCACGTCAAAGGGGCTCATATACACCTTCAGACCAGTCAATCAGCTCCAGCAGAGCACCCAGTACATGGAACCATCTCCACAGCCACTATTTAGAGTAGAGTAGAATGGAGTGGGGTGGAATATGGAATATGGAATATGGAATGGAATAGAATAAGAAATAATGAATAGAATAGGATAGGATAGAATATAGAATATAATATGAAATAATTGAATAGAATAGAATATAGAATATAAAATAGACTAGAATATGAAATAATGAATGGAATGGAATGGAATGGAATGGAATGGAATAGAATAAAATAGAATAGAATGGAATAGAATAGAATAGAGCTGGAAGGGACCTTGGAGGTCTTCTAGTCCAGCCCTCCACTCAAGCAAGATATCCTGTACCATTCTAGACAGGTGACTGCCCAGTCTTTTCTTGAAAACCTCCAGTGATGACCAATATTAACATTTGTGGAATCGACTCCCGTGGCCTTCAAGCTTTTGTCAATGCCTCTCTTCTTCTTCTTCTTCTTCTTCTTCTTCTTCTTCTTCTTCTTCTTCTTGAAATACATCAGATTATCTGCCATCACTTGAGCAGGTTTTCCTGTTTTTGAGCCTTTCTCTGGAGTGAAATGATAAAGATATCCTCCGCCAAGCTCGCTACACACAGAATAATGTTCTTTGATATGTACTAGGGAATTGCTGGTCTGAAAATTTATGATATTTACATAGTTGTTTACCAAGCACATTTCAATTATATGAAAGTAACCAAAGTATATTTACAATTACCAAGGCATGTCACAATGTTTGAGCATGCCTAATGTTTGGAAATTGAAAGCTGGGAAATGTGACACGCCTAACGCCATACCAGAAAACATCTCCCTGGGTACAGCTGCTGGCACAGACTGTTTTCAGGAAAAGAACGAACTGAAACAGATATGCGATAGGAAAAAAAAAACAAATTTATTTACCTATTTACAGCGGCCAATCTCACAAATGGGATTTTGGGTAATACACAGTGAGACAGCTGACAGTTGAAAATAAAATCTTTAAAACCATTAAGCCATTAAAAGATAAATATAAATAAACCACAGGATAGTGCCCTCAAGGTCTTACATGCGGTACAGGCAGTCCTTGACTTACAAGAGTTCATTTAGTAACCGTTCGAAGTTACAACGGCACTGGAAAAAATGGGCTTATGATCATTTTTCACACTTACGACTTTTATAGCATCCCCATGATCACGTGATCGAAATTCAGAGGCTTGGCAACTGGCATGTACTTGACAGTTGCAGTGTCCTGGGGTCATCTGACAAGTGAAGTCAACTGGGAAGTCAGATTCATTTAACACCCATGTTACCAACTTTCACTTAACAACTGTGGCCAGAAAGATCTAAAATGGGGCAAAGCTCACTTAACCAATGTCTCACTTAGCAACAGAAATGTTGGGCTCCATGCTGGTCATAAGTCAAGGACTACTAATGGAAACTAATCAAGGAGAGAAGCAACCTGGAATTAAGGAGAAACTTCCTAACATTGGGAACAATTAACAAGTGGAACTGCTTGCCACCAGAAATTGTGAATGCTCCATCACTGGAGATTCTTAAGAAAAGACTGGACAGCCACTTGTGTGAAATGGTCTAGCCTAGGGCCTCCTGCTTGAGCAAGGGGTTGGACTAGCAGACCTTCGAGGTCCCTTCCAACTCTGTTAGCGTTCACATATCACCTTGGGTTTAAGATACCTGATGCAATTTAGCTCCAAGAATGGGTATGTCTACTCTAGTGAAAAGGACTGAGGGAAACATGATAGCAGTATTTCCACAAAGAATACTGCCACAAACAACAGGGAGTCAACTTATTTTCCAAAGCACCAGAAGGCAGGACAAGAAATAAGGGATGGAAATTAATCAAGGAGAGAAACCTGGAATTAAGGAGAAATATTCTGATAGTGAGAACAATTAACCACTGGAACAGCTTGCCACCAGAAGTTCTGGGAGCTCCATCACTGGAGGTTTTTAAGAAGAGTCCAGACAGTCACATCTGAAATACTATAGGTTCTCCTACTTGAGCAGGGGGCCTTCAAGGTCCCTTCCAGCTCATTTATTCTATTCTACTACATGCAGTTTTATCTTTTTAATATTATAAGCCCCCCAGCCTCACCTGATGGTAAGATGGGTGGCTAATCAATTTTAAAAATAAATAAATCAAATAGAAGTAATGCCCAGTGGCCGATGGGTAGCAGTGGGTAGCGAACATCCTTCCGGCTTGGTTGTTGAGTTATGCTTTGTTGGGTATTGTCTCGACAGCCGTCGGCTGCTGCATCGCCAAAGCCAAGGAAGACCTCCAGGGCCTGCTTAGGAAATGGGAAACGGGGTCTTCCTGCCAGCCCTCCCAGCCAGGCCAACCCCAGAAGCCGTACCAGAGCTGCAAGGAAATCAAGGCTACCATGCCAGAGGCTCCAGGTGAGCAAAGAGGATGCTTTAGTCCCGTCACATCTCTCCGCTTCTGGGTATTTAGGACCATGATGGGCACTGCGAGGCATGGGAAAGAGAGGAGGGCAGGGGTGGGATTCTACTGGTTCGGATGAGTGCGGACAAACCAGTCGCTCCAGTGATCATTTGGGCCCCCGCTCACCCCCGACCCCGGTCTTTCCTGTCCTTTATTTCCGTGTTCCGAATCAGCTCTGCTGATTCGCACAGCACAATGGCTTGCTGCTTCACTCACCAGGGCTGCAGTAGAAGATAAGTATCAAGAGCTGATCATAGACTATGCGCAAATGCTATGCGCAAAGCGCGTGTTTGGCTCATGTGCACTCACCAAACCGGTTGTTACATTGGTTGAACCCCACCCCAGGAGGAGAGAGCTTTGACTGCATGGTTGTGGTTGCCATTTTGACTTTGTGGTGCACACACACACACACCAATGGCCATCCCTGCCATGGTCAATCTGTATTGACCAGGGCAGTATTAGTACCACTTTATAAATCTAGGTGTAAGGCCACACCTAGAATCCTGCATCCAGTTTTGGTCCCCACATTACAAAAAAAGGATGTTGAGACTTTGGGGAAAGTTCAGAGAAGAGCAAATAAGATAATCAAAGGCCTGGAGACTGAGAAGAAAGGTTGCAGGATTTGGGTCTGGCTAGTCTGAAGAAAAGAAGAATTAGGGGTGACAGGATAGCAGTATTCCAATATTTGAGGGGCTGCCACAAAGAAGGAGGGGGTCCACCTATATTCTCCAAAGCACCAGAAGGTAGAAGAAGCAATGGATTGAAACTAACCAAAGAGTGAAACAACTGGAATTAAGCAGAAACTTCCTAACAGTGACGACAATCAACCAGTGGAACTGCTTGCCACCAGAAGTTGTGGGAGTTTAATCATAGGTTTTTAAGAAGAGACTGGACAGCCACTTATCTGAAATGGTGTAGGGTCTCCTGGGGGCTGGATTAGAAGATTTCCAAGGTCCCTTCCAGCCCTATTCTGATCAGTGGTGGGATTCCTTTTTTTTTTTTTACTACCAGTTCTGTGGGCATGGCTTGGTGGGCGTGGCAGGGGAAGGATACTGCAAAATCCCCAATCCCTCCCCACCCACTAACCGGCTTTCCAGCTCCATTCTCCTGTGCAGGGCAACCAAAGAAGACCCAGCTGATCAGCTGGGACTCAATGGGAGGCAGAGAAGAGATGGGGTTGGTGGGGCCAGTCAGAGGTGGGATTGGCCAGTTCTCTGAACGACTCCAAATTTCCGCTACCGGTTCTCCAGAACTGGTCAGAACCGGCTGGATACCATCTCTGATTCTGATCGTTTATTACAGGGCTCTTCAAACTTGGCAACCTTAAGACTTGTGGACTTCAACTCCCAAAATTCCCAGGACCAGCCATGAATTCTGGGAGTTGAAGTCCACAAGTCTTAAAGTTACCAAATTTGGAGGCTCCTGCTTTGTTAAGACAAAGTTCTGCTCAAAATCCAGGGAACATTTTTTTTTAACATACCAGAGGTCAGCAAACTTTCAGCCCCGTTTATCATGCCGACAATGAGAATCTAACCAGACTTTCTCAACCTTGGCAGCTTGAAAATAGACTTCAACTCCCAGAATTGCCCAGCCAGCCATAGTTAATTTCTATTAACATAATTTTGTATTGATCTTAGTTATATAGTTTGGAATCATTGCAGCTCACTTTACCATTATAATTCAAAATTGACATTATCTTCTACCATTTATGTAAATTGGTTATTATGAAATAGTGTTTGTGAACATGAAAAGCAGATGATGAAGGAAGACAAATGGAGGAGGGGAGGAGAAGGAAGGGAGGAGGAAGAAGATAGAAGGAGGAAGAGGAAGGGAGAAAGAAGTAAAGGAAGGGGGAGAGGAGGAGGAAGAAGAGGATAAAAACAAATGGAGGGGGAGGAAAAAGAAAGGAGGGAACGAGAGGAGGAAGAGGAGGAAGACAAATGGAGGAGTGGGAGGGGGTGGAAAGGAAGGAGAGGAAGGGGGAGGAGGAAAAAAGGAGAAGGAGGGGAGGGGGAGGAGGGGGAAGAGGAGGAGGAAGAAAGAAGGAGGAAGAGGACAAATGAAGAAGAGGAGGGAAGAAGAAGGAGAGGTTGAGGAGCAGGGGTGGGATTCTACCAGTTCTATCCGGTTCTATAGAACCCCTTGTTAACTTTCTAAAATCTAAGCAGTTCAGAACCGGTAGTTGGAAGCAACCTCCTTTTGTTTTTTTCCACTCTTATTACATTCTTGGCAGACAGCCTAGACTGTCTCCAGAGCTTCTGGGGCTTGACTTTCTTAAAGGGGAAGAGTTGTTTTAAGATTTTTACACTGCTATTTCCCTGGACAATCAGCACGTTGAAGAAATGATTGAATAATGAAGCAAAGCTTTTAGTGACAGGGAACCAAAATGAGTGACATTCAGCAAGGCTTCTTGGCTAGCTAGAAAGATTGACATTCAAATGTGAGTTTACATACTCCTTATGAGTTTTGGTTTAAAACTGGTTTTTGGTGAAGGTTAATTCTGTGCTTGGTGAAAGTTAATCCTGTGTTTATTGGTGGGATAATTTTCCCTATTCAGTTACAACAAGGAACAGCTACTGTTGTGATTTAATTATTTGCATTGTGTTTGAATTTTTTCCTGCCTCATGGTTTCTTTTTTTATCTGGGGAGGGTGTCTTCCTTCACTTCTTTAATGGTATCTGGCACTGTCCTTTTGGGGTGTACTTCCAAGAGGCAGGGTGCAAGCTTGGCACTGATTTTTTTTTTACTGCCTTTCTGGGGGGCATGTCACCTTTCCTTAAATCTGGATGATTTCCTTAGGATATCTTGTGAGGTGAGTGAGACCAGCTGGTGTCATTAAGTGGTACAAATGGATCTAAGGATTGCTTTTCCTGGGTGTGCTTTTTCTGGAGAGTTAAATGACCTCTCTGCTAAAGATAAAGTGTTTCACTTTATGAGCAAAAGTTGGCTGCTTGATAGTTATCACTGTATTTTAACTATTTTCATTCCTCAAGGTACTCTGGCACCTGATTTGTAACTCTGGCTTGCAGATATTTTTAATCTAATGATTGGTATTCTTTGCAAGCAAAGAAGCTTTTTGTATTTTTGTACAGGTAATCCTTGACTTACAAGAGTTCATTTAGTGACCATTCAAAGTTAAAATGGCACTGAAAAAAGTGACTTATTACCATTTTTCACACTTATGACTGTTGCAGCATCCCCACTGACATGAGAGGCCAGATGAGAAGCGTCCTTTGACATGACTGATGTTGAGTTGGGCATGCCCACCCAGTCACATGACCCAACTCAGCCACGCACACAGTTGTTAAAAAAACTGAACCCCAACCCTGGTGAGGAGGAAGACTGCAGGGGTCCTTGGTACTCTCTGAGCTTTTTCCTTGCAGATGTTTCATTATCTCTATCTCTATCTCTATATATCTGCTGATATAGATGGACTGTATATCCTGACCAATGAAAATGGTGAGATCTACCAGATCAACTGCAACATGACTACCAACAGAGGCAGCCAGTGGTCAGCATCCATGAAAACAACATCTTTGGGAAATGCATCACAGGCGATCGCTGGTCCAGCCAACAAGGAAGCAATGCCAACTTCCCCTACGGAGATGGAAACTGGTCCAACATTAACGCCTTTGGGACAGCCATAGCAGCCACGAGCAATGACTACAAGGTAGGAGTTACTCATTGGAGGGGAGCGGGGGAAATAGCAAACTTTTTTTAAGGGCCTTATTTTAGCCACAGGCCAAAATCAGACTCAAAGAGTTGGTCGTAACAGGGAGCTCTGGGTTATGTTTAATATTCGATGCAAAAACAGCAACTGTTGTTCATCCACAATCATTGATGAAACGCTCAACATCAGTGGTCACCTTGATGTGGTATGTCTGAAGATGATCGCGCAGGCCAGTTTGGGCACAAAATGTCCTGACTCATGTTGGGTTATAGACTTACACAACAATGATTTTGTTGAATTTTTGGAGTGTGCCTTACTTCATAAGCTTAACAGAGTTGGAAGGGGCCTTGGAGGTCTTCTAGTCCAGCCCGCTGTTTAAGAAGGAGACTTTATACCCTTCCAGACAAATGGATGTCCAGGCTCTCCTTGAAAACCTCCAGTGATGGAGCTCCCACAACTTCTGGAGGCAACTTATGTTCAACTTCTGGCCCCCAGGGGAAAACACTGGCCCTGCTGGACTCTGGGTGTTACTAGACGTGTAATTAGCTCTAAAGTCGTGGAGAAACTGGGATTGAGGCTAAGAACTTTAAAAACTCCCGTAGCCTTTTGCCAACTGGATGGATCAGTAGCTGGGGGTGGCCTTGGCCCATTTTCTAACAGAGCCAGTGGAAATGTCAATGGGGAGGCACCGAGAGACGTTGGGTTTCATGGTGGCCCTTGGGATGGAGTGCCCCTTATTACTTGGACAGCCCTGGCTTAGGAAATGGAATCCCCAAGTGAATTGGAGGAAAGGGCTACTGTGCATATGCACAGACCAACCCCCAGAAGCCGGGAGGGGCTGTCTCTAAGAAAGCCCCAGAATTCCACAGAGTTGGCATCGATGGGCAGTGAAAGCATTGTGGGATAGAAAAAAATCCCTGAAGAGTATCGAGACTTAAGGGAGGTTTTTTAGTGAGGAAGCGTTGGATGCGGTCCCCCACTACACATTGCAGCATTGAGATTCTGCCAGGGGTGAAGCTCCCTAAGCCTAAACTGTATTTGATGACATCACGAGAATTAGAGGAATTGTGTTTGTTTATTGATAAGAACCTTGAGTGAGGTTTCATCCAACCTGCCAGGCCTCAGCTGGCGGCCACAGTGTTGTTCCGAGAAAATAAATAACAGAGTTATTATAAGCCGCCGCTGCGAAAAGCAGTAGGTCTGACCAATCATTCTGTTGATAATTGATATAACATCTAAGATATTGTTCCAATACTGAGTTCTCTCACAGGCCCCATTGGTTTAACCCCTCAAGAACCTCAGGAATTCCTTCCAGAAATTTGATGCAAATTGGACCCCCATATCTGAAATTATCCATTCAGGAACACCATGTATTCTATACAAATATAAACATTTTAGCCAACATTTTTGCAGATAGGATTTTTGAACAGGGTATGAAATGTACCTGCTTGGAAAACAAGTCAGTAACCACCCAAATGACTGTATTTCCCCCACTTTCAGGCAATTCCACTATAAAATCCATGGAAATTTCCTTCCATGGGGCAGTCGGCCTAGCGATATGTTGCAGTAGACCAGCAGGTTTTCCAGGTAGTTGTTTGGCTGAAGCACAAATAGGACAACTAGGTACATAAGCTTCTATGTCTTTTTTCAAGGTTGGCCACCAAAATTGCTGTTTGGCCAAATGTAAGGTTTTCACTAAACCAAAATGTCCAGCGGCTTTTAAATCGTGGGCTTGCTTTAAGGCTAGCTGGTACATATAACTTGGCCCCCACCCATGCTAGACCATCTCAAATAGTACAGTCATTTGAGTGGCTTAAGAATCAATCATCCAGTTTTAAAACTTCTTTTAACTGTACAGTTAAATCACTTGAAAGGTTAACATCCCCCTTTTTCTGGGCTTTGGTGACCATTGGGGCAGCCAGTTGCCTTGTAGGAACAATAGGATGGATCATTTCTGGGCGGACACTGTTATATTGGGACAATCTAGATAAAGCGTCCATCATAAAATTGGAAAAGACTACTTTGAAGATTTAAATAAAATTGTGTTGAAATATATATGGCAAGGTAAGAAAGCGAGAATAAAGTTAAAACTTTTGCAAGGTGCTAGAATTAGAGGAGGATTTGGTTTGCCTAATTGGGAGTTGTACTACCAAGCTATAAATTTGATGTGGATCAAGGAATGGATAACACTAATAAATACTAGATTGTTGACATTAGAAGGACATGATTTGTTGTTGGGGTGGCATGCTTTTTTATGGTACTACAAAGGAACTAAAACACAGGGGTATTTTAGAAGACATTATAGTACGGGAGTCTCTGTGGTTAAACTGGGAGAAGATTAAAAGACAATGTTATTTGAAAATTCCAGTCTGGCTATCGACCATTGAAGCATTTTCTTATCCTATAAGGTTAGGAACAAACAGTTAGATATGGTGAAATATTGAATGAAAAGGGTGAACTTAAATCTATGCAAAAACTAGAGGAACGAGGTATAAAGATGAATTGGTTCTCATATGCACAAATACATTCAAGGTATGATAAAGATTCTAAAACAGAAGGTTTCTATGATAAACTTACTGACTTAGATAAGATTTTGTCAGGTACTGATGAAAAGGTTATTAAAAATTGTATGGATATTTATTAGAAATTAAAATAGAAGAACAAGTTAAAGAAACTATGATTGCTTGGGGGAAGAATTTTGGATATGGGATTGATTTAGAGAAATGGCAAAAATTGTGGTCTCAAAATTATAAAATGACAATGTCAACAGCATATAAAGAAAATTTGTATAAGATGTTTTACAGGTGGCATTTTCCCAACAAGAATAGCAAGAATGTTCAAGAATAAATCCGAAAAATGTTGGAAATGTCATCAGACATCTGGCTCATATTACCATATGTGGTGGACTTGTGCGGATGCTAAAAAATACTGGACTAAAATCCATATGTGGTTGGAAAAAATGACAAAAAACCATACAGACTTGAAACCAGAGATATTTTTATTGGGAATTTTACCTGAAACATATAGTAAAGACTTGAAATACCTGACTGTAAATGTATTAACAGCGGCTAGGATTGTATTTGCTAAAAACTGGAAAAATGAGAAAATACCATCACAGGAAGAAATCATTAAGAAAATATTGGAATGTGCTAAAATGAGTAGATTGACATTTGAAATTAGAGAAGAGGATAAACAATTTTATAAAATTTAGGATCTTTTCTATCAATGGTTAGACAATAAAGTACAGTAATGAAATATGTAGAGTTTTAGAAAATAATAAATAAATAAAGATGTACTTCTTTTTTATTATATCTACAAAATGATTTTAGGATCGATTTGGGATGATAATACGAACTGTTATGAAATAAACTAAGTAAATTATGGTTATCTTGTAAAACATGAATGAATAAAAGTATAGTCAAATGATTAATAATGATACTAAGGTATTTAATTTTTGATTGACAATATGAGATTATATGTAATGCAATTGTAATCGAAGACTACGAAATGGAAGCACAAAACAATTTGTAAACCAACCGGCACAGTATATGTACACCTATGAAAGATAGCTTGATGTTTTTATGTTTTGTTTGTTTACGTTTGTTTTTAAAAACCAATAAAATTTATTAAAAAAAAAGGAGTTAGGGTTTGTCAGGCTATTTCGAACAAAATGCCTGTATAAGCTTAGGGGCTCTGACATCACATTCATTCCCCCATACTGACTGAGAAGTAGGGAAATGCTTCCAAACCACTAAATATTGGAGTTGTCCTCTGTTTCCTGGAATCTAGAATCTCTTTAATCTCAAAATGTTGCTCGCCCTCAATCAAAAGAGGAACAGGTGGGGCGGCCTGGTCAGGTCGCAAATTGGGTGTATGTTCAGGTTTTAACAAACCGACATGAAAGACAGGGTGAATCCTTCTAAGTGTCTTTGGCAATTGTAATTGCACTGCAACCAGATTCACAATTCATACAATTGGGAAAACTTCCACATATTTAGGTCCCAATTTTTTAGATTTCTGGGTTGTTCATAAATACTTAGTGGACAAGAAGACTTGGTACGGTTTTTGTGGAGCACTCTTTTTGTCTGCTTGTTTTTTATGAGTTTGATGAGCATCATCTAATGCTTTACAGGTAACCGGCTAGGTAAACTGGAGTTGGGTTATCCACGCTGTCAATGATGTAACATTGGGTTTCTCTTGTGGTAACTCTGGGATGGGTACAAAGTCTTGACAAATAGCTACCCATAGCTGGAGTACAAAGGACAAAGGTATTTTGCATTTTAACTTCCTAGAGGCTGATGGGAGGAGCTGCTGGCTGGCTGTGTGCCCCCATTTGTTTATGTGAGCTTTGGCTGTCACATTGTCTGTCAGAATCAGTATGTGCTGACCGCGTACCTGGGGGAGGAAGTTGTGAAGGGCCAGGTGTACTGCACGAAGTTCCAGCCAGTTTATGCTGCATGATTGTTCTATGTCGGACCATCTGCCTTGGGTTGTGAGCGACTGGACGTGAGCTCCCCATCCAAACACCATCTGTGGTGATGGTGAGCCTTTGTGGCTCCTTGAAGAGACAGCCTCTGTTGATGACCAGTTTGGACCACCAGAGGAGAGACATGAGGACCTTGGGTGGGACCCTGACTTTGTGTTTGCAGTTGCTTCGGCCGGATCTCTGGTACGGTAGCAGGAACCACTGGAGGGATCTAGTGTGGAGACGGGCCCAAGGGATAATAGAAATACATGATATCGTTTTGCCCAACAATTTTGATAGATCCAATAAGGACACCCTCTTAAACGACCTGATCTCCTTGACTAATTTTTGAATGCTATTTAGTCTATCTGGTGACAGATAAACCTCGCCTTCCACCGTATCTATAACGGCCCCTAAATGAATTATCCGAGTCGATGGTGTTAATTGACTCTTGTAGGGATATTAATGTGGTCTGAGTGTCTATAACTGCTTGATGGGCGGAAGGAGATAAAATCAAAATATCGTCCAGA